CTGGTTGTGTGGGGTCTCTGCTGTTAGCCTTTGCATCACTGAACCTTTATTAAGTGCTTCTGGCATGCAACACGTGGGTTCTTGTCGGAGGCCGCGCCGGCTCCGACAGGTCCAGGGGTCCCTGAAGGATGGACTGTGTCGGCGAAAGAGAGTGAGAGAGCCCCGAGATCCTTTCTGATCACCAGGCAGGCATCTCTGTCCTGTCGGTTTTGGTGTCTTTATTTATAGATCAAATGTTAACATGGCATCAGGAAATGGAATTTTTACAAAGGATAGCTCTTTGTGATAAGGTGTTTTTGGAAATGTATAGAAACAGGTTTTACAGAAGTCTTCTTGCAGAACTGCCCCAATTATAGTGAGGTTGAGTAACTAAGAAAATAACAAGGTGTTCACATTTTAATAACGCTAAGATTAAGTCATAGGTTTGTAGATACTCTTATCCATCCTCATCACAGCTGCCAGGGTAAGGGAAGGTGTTTGTGGAATGTAGTCCTTAGGGAAGGGATGCTATACATCACAGTCAGCAAAGGTGTATGTACTAACTTATCTTCTGCCCTTATCTGTTCCTTCTCTCTAAGTGAGGCTCTTTGTCTCTTGGCAAGACTTGTTTTTCTAGTTATATTCTTTATTTCACTTGAGAGCCATCCATACCTTTAAAGAGTTTAGCTTATTTCCAATACATAGAACAGCCTCTTCGAGTGCATTTACCTTTGTGTCTACTTTTATGATTTCTTTAATAGCTAGGGCAGGAGAGACATTTTTGGTTAGTTGATTTACATGTTGAGCTGTACGAACATCTTGGACTAACGCAACGGTAGAAACAGAACTGTACATGTAAAGGTCAATCTTTTATGACTAGGGGTCATTAGCTTGTTCATAGCTCAAGGGAAAGCATGGAGGGAAACAGGACCTTCTGGAGACACGATGTCTGTTCCCATAATCAAAAGAATTTCCCACAATAAGTTCCTTCACAAGGTGCAATCATCATACCAGGGCCAGAATAAGGGGACAAGTCACTCCCGATATTGATCAACAAGGTACCCTAGGGGTCATGCTCAAGCAGACATAATTGAGTGGGGGTGGATATCGGTCGTCATCTGATTGGCAAGAGACAGTGCAAACTTGCTTTAACCTCACCAGGAGTTTTCTCGACTAGTGGGCTCAGAATGGCTCCCAAAGGCTTTGGAATTGGAAATGTAACAATAAAGCCAATTTCAACCTAATAAGGATTTATCAAAATCATGTAACCCTCATTCTGTGCATAGGATCTTTTACCTGCATTGACTCAATCTTCCCAACAACCCTGTAAGGGGCAAATATTATTACTTCTAATTCTTAAGTGGGGATCCTGAGGCCATAAAGAGGTCAGTAGGAGGCCAAGGTGGCATATTTATTAGACAATAGAACCTTATTCTATTGGTCTTATTCTATTGACTCTCAGGCAGTCACAGAGTAAGTGCATCAACCACCCACTATTAGCCCTCACAGAGGAGGCTGTGGCCCCCTCTGTACATTCAGGTCATTGGGAGGGATTTGGAACACAGGACTTTCCTGCCACCAGGGGAAAGTATGAGCATCATAAAGAAAAATGCAAAGTTCTTTGGGGAGATGGGGACACCGGAGGGAGTAATTGATTTGCTATGGTGTAACATTTAATCTATAGTTTTTCATTCATTTATACTTCTTTTTAAAAAAAATTTTTTTTAATGATAATTTATTTTTGAGACAGAGACAGAGCGCAAGTGGGGGAGGGGCAGAGAGAGAGGGAGATACAGAATCTGAAGCAGGCTCCAGGCTCTGAGCTGTCAGCACAGAACCTGATGCAGGGCTTGAACCCACAAACCGCAAGATCATGACCTGAGCCAAAGTTGGAGGCTCAACCAACTGAGCCACCCAGACGCCCCTCATCTATGCTTCTTCATTCTGAAAATAGTATTTTACTGTACAAGGCTTTCCCTCTCTCTCTCTCTGGTCTCTTGATGATATTTTAGAGATGGCTGTGTCCACTCAATGGAGCTGGAGGGGTGGGGCTCGGCACCTACTTTAAGATCTGTGTCTGTTGCCTTAAAAAATGTAACACTCTTAATTTGTTTTGATCCTGTTGATTGTGGTAGCGTTTTCTAAACCTGTTGCAAATTGGGCCTTGAAAGTTGTGGGGGACAGGTGAAAAAGGGAAGAATATAAATCCTAACTGAATATCCTAAGAATTAGCTTGGATAGAATCATCAGAAATTAGGCCCAGTAGAAAACTGGAGGATGTCTAGCTCTTTGTTTTATAAACTAATGTATGCAGATCTGGGGTTCTGTCCAGGTTCCTCCTGGAACAAACTTCAGGCCTTCTACCCATTTCTGCTTGGACCACAGTAAGGCTTTCACCCTGTCTCTCTATCTCTGTCTCTGTCTCCATCTCTTCTCTCTCTGTCTTTCTCTTTTTTGGGCATAATATTCCTTTCTCCTTAAGCTACCTTCTGCTGGAAAACATCAGAAAACCCCAGCTATTGTTCTACTCCATCCTCATTTCATTTTTCCCCATACATATTATATTAAAATTCTATAAATATTGAAGTAGCATGTTTGCTTTACTGTGTTTGAAGAAACCTCTTTATCTACACCTGCCTAAGTGCTTCCTGCATCACGAGCTACTGTCTTTTTCCTTTTTACTACTTTTCACAATTTGTATTCATCTATCCATTTATTTGTTTACTTGCTTAAGGTTTGTCTCCCGCTCAAGATTACAAGCTTCATGAGGGTAGGGATTGTGTGGACCCAGCTTTTTTGTTCATTTCTTTGTTATATTGTTTTGTACCCAACTCCTGGCACTCAACAAACATATATTGAATTGATTAATGAATGAATGACTAAATCTCAGAATTTGGAGGGAGATATAAAGTTATTTCTTTATCCTAAGTGGTGAGTATCATGTATGTATTTTTTAGCATAAATAGGCAGGTCACTGAGACCTTCTTAATAGGTCTTCCCATTGGTCACTGAGATCTTCTCATTAGGCAAGTCATTGAGACATTTACCTTTCAGAGGACACTTGTCAGTGTCTGGAGACATTTTTGGTTGATGCACTTGGGGAAATTTTACTGACATCTACCAGAATCTAGTAGCATGGATGTTGTTAAATCCCATTCAATGTTCAGGACAGATCCCCACATCAGAGTTATATGATCTCAGACATCAACAGTGCTGAATTTGAGACAGCCTGGCCTAGATTGTTGCCCTTGTAAACAATTATTATTATTTTACAAAACCAGATTCTCAAAAATAGTAGAAAAAACAGTAGAAAGAATCTAATTTTTGTGGATTAGGAAGCAGATGGCCAGATGGATTAATAATAATACCTGTGGCACTCTATAACTTGAAAAGCAAGTTCACACATGTGTAGGTCACAGTCCTGCAGTGGCAAGAGTCTTGAATCTTCGAGAAGTCTGAGTAGTGTCTTCCCTTCCTCTGCAGACTTCAGCATTGCAGGGTTGCAAAATTACTAAGGAATTGTGTTCCCATTTTCCAACTTTATGCTCATTATTCCTTATTTGAATTCATTCAGGATTGGAAACAGAAATTCTATCAGAACACCAAACGTGTGTAGTCAGAGGGTTCACTGCCCATTTCTCATGTGGACAGAGAGATATCACGGATGTGTTTCCAGTGATGTCTGAGAAGAGAACTGATCTCCTTTCTACCAGCACTGACACTCATAGTACCTCAGAAGTGCTGGTGTGTCTAAACACCATGCTGTTTTTTAATGGTTGTGTGTGATGTATTTCACCAACCTCAAGCTGTCCTTCATGTAGGTTACCTTTTCTATTTGTTGGTAGCCAGTGCAGATATAAAAATGACGCCTAACAAGAGAGAAAGAGCCAAGTAATAACTCTCCCTATTTACACCATATTGTGTCTCTGTACAAAAATCCGATGAGGTGACCACATCAGGACCAAGAACAGGGGAAAGATTCAAGTCTACGAAAAAAGAAATCTTTGGGGCGCCTGGGTGGCTTAGTCGGTTAAGCGTCCGACTTTCGCTTGGGTCATGATCTCGCGGTTCGTGGGTTCGAGCCCCGCGTCGGGCTCTGTGCTGACTGCCAGCTCAGAGCCTGGAGCCTGTTTCAGAGTCTGCGTCTCCCTCTCTCTCTGACCCACCCCTGTTCACGCTATCTCTCTCTCTCTCCTAGAAATTAAAAAAAAAAAAAATTAAAAAAAAAGAAAAAAAAGAAATCTTTGGCCCAAGAAACTTAATGGCTAAGCTAATTTAATGTTAAGAGTTGTTTTGTAGAATGCCTTTCCTGATCATCACTGTTGAAAAAAGTCTCCCAAGTTCACACGTTATACTATAGGGATTCCATGCAGGGATTTTCCCACTGATGGCATTTATTTATGTGGAAGAACTGCATGTCTTAGTGATGCAGGTCAGCTAACGTAGAGATAAAGAGGAGGTGATCCTTCATCTCCACAGTTCCATCCCATATCAGCAGCTGTGGCAAAGAGGAACACTAGAGGTAAAAAGAAAAACACATTTTTTATGAAAAAAAGGGACTTTTATCAAAGTAAAGGAATCAAGCATTACTTAGTTGAAATTAACACCTACTAATCTTGTACAACATAATTTTTAAAATATTTATTTATTTTGAGAGAAAGAGAGAGCATGAGCAAGCATGAGTGGGGAAATAGCAGAGAGAGGGGGAGAGACAAGGAACCCCAAGCAGGGGACGCAGGGCTCGAGCTCGGGAAATGCCAGACAACGACCTGATGAAATCAAGAGTTGGACGCTCAACCAAATGAGTCACCCAGGCATCCCTACAATATAATTGTGTTCAATTTTATTTTGTTGTATAGAAAGTATTTATAATAATAAAGGGAAAGTGGAAACATTAGAAATAATATCTGATAATTTCTTCAGGCATCCTGGTATAATTATGTTTTCCTCCCCAGGAGTATTTAAAAAGCAGAATCTTATACTCTGTGTGAAAATCAAGGACAAAGTTCTCCACATGCACCATGAGCACCAACTCATCCCCCTCTACGGCTGAGCAGCTCTGTTACCAGAACGTGACCAGATCCTGCGTGAAAGCTTCCTATTCACCTGGACCCAGGCTCATTCTCTACATGGTGTTTGGCTCTGTGGCTCCGCTGGCTGTTTTTGGAAACCTCCTGGTGGTGATTTCAATCCTGCATTTCAAGCAGCTGCACTCTCCAACCAATTTCCTCATCGCCTCTCTGGCCTGTGCTGACTTTCTGGTGGGGGTGACCGTCATGCCCTTCAGCATGGTCAGGTCTGTGGAGAGCTGCTGGTACTTTGGAGCCAGATTTTGTAGCCTGCACAGTTGCTTTGATGTGGCGTTTTGTTACTCGTCTCTCTTCCATCTGTGCTTCATCTCCATCGACAGGTACATCGCTGTGACTGAGCCTCTGGTCTATCCTACCAAGTTCACGGTGTCTGCGTCAGGGATATGCATCGGCATCTCCTGGATCTTGCCTCTTGTATACAGTGGTGCCGTGTTCTTCACAGGTGCCTATGATGATGGGCTGGAGGAGTTATCTAGTGCCCTCAACTGTGTAGGAGGCTGTCAGACAGTTGTAAATCAAAACTGGGTATTGATAGATTTTCTATCCTTCTTTATACCTACCCTTGTTATGATAATTCTCTATAGCAATATTTTTCTTGTGGCTAGACAACAGGCCAAAAAGATGGAAAATACTGGGGGCAAAATAGAATTGTCATCAGCTAGTTACAAATCCAGAGTAGCCAAGAGAGAGAGAAAAGCAGTGAAAACCCTGGGTATCACTGTGGTAACATTTATGATTTCATGGTTACCATACAGTATTGACTCACTAATTGATGCTTATATGGGTTTCATAACCCCTGCCTACATTTATGAGATTTGTTGTTGGTGTGCTTATTATAATTCAGCCATGAATCCTTTAATTTATGCTTTATTTTACCCATGGTTCAGGAAAGCCATAAAAATTATTGTGAGTGGGTGGGTTTTCCAGGTCAGTTCAGCCACCATGAATTTGTTCCCTGAACAAATGTAAGCAATTGGACTGAGGAAATTAGAGAAACCTTTACAATTTCCAAAGGAAATGAGTTTGTAAAAATCAAATAAGACTATTAATGAGGAGAAAACCATTTGCTCTTCAAATTTAACAGGATAAATCAATGTTTTCCAGTATTAACTGTGTGCTTCCTGTCGTTTCTCAAAAAAATATTTGTATAACTAGTAAATGTCAAACCCCTATTTGTTAAGTGCTACAGAGCTCACCATCCCTCATTTCCTGCACATACTTCCTTCCCTCCCTTTTGCTCTTGTATTTTATTGATTATTCCCTTCATAGCCTAAAAACACCTTTTTAAACATTGTCTTCTTTCCTCTTTTCCTTAGAAAGTTTTCTACTCACTCCCAACTTGTTAAAAAATTTCTCTGAGGTTAGCTTTCACAGGGTTGTTGTCCTGTTTGTTTTTGGCTATGCTTTGCTTGTTTTCCCAAAGGAAAATTGGGGGCAGAAGTGAAATCTATTTTGTTGGCTGTCTGCATGGTACCTGTGCTTGGAATTTGCTTCAGCGGCTCCTGGATTCTCTTGTATACAGTAGGTGCCCATGAGGATGGGATGGAGGAATTAGTAAGTGCCTTCTGTTCTGTACATGGTTGCCACCTTGTTATAAATCAATTCTGGATGTTGATAGAATTTCTATTATTTTTCACATCTAGCTTTCCTAATATTGCATCTAGTAATATTTTTCTTGTGGCTAGAAAACATACTAAAGAGGCTGAAAATATTAGTACAAAATAGAATCACTGTCAGGGACTTGCAAGGCTAAGATGGCTAAGAGAGAGAGAAAAGCAGCTCAGGCCCTGGGTGTCACAGGGTAGCACTTTTGGTTGCATGTTAACCACATGCAATTGATTCATTCACTGATTCTTTTAAGGGTTTATGGCACCTTCATATGTTATGAGATAGTTTATTGGTTTGGTTATTGTAACTCTGCCCTAAAGTCTTTGATATATGCTTTATATATGAAGAGAGCAGGAAAACTTATTATAAGTGGTCAAATAATAAAAGACTGTTCATCGACCACAAATTGAATTTCTAAATTGACCTAAATTAATAATTTGAAAAAAAGACATTGATGTGGTGACATATTGAAAATTTCCTAATGATTATAATGCAAATTATAGTACATGAAAATGTCATTTTAGATGATGGAAGAGAAATGGTACCTCAATTTCAGTAGCATAACCTCTAGGCTTTTGCTTTCTTGGTGAAGTGAACATCTTTAAGCATTTGATAGAACTGTATTTACTAAATAATGGTTGGCACAAGGCTCCTTAAATCTGTGCCCTTTCCTGCTTTGTCAGTTGCTTTTTTCCTCTTCCAGGACTCACGTTCCTTTCTCACTTTTCTTTCACTGTCAAAGATTTCCTGGTCCCATGTTCCCTGTTAATGGCTTGTATTTCCTGCCTTTTACTGGACTAGGTTAACTTTGCTTTCATTTGAGTGGCTTGTTTCTTGCAGCAGTGGGGGGAGGGAAGGGGAGGTGGAGGAGAGATAATTTTCTGGAGCTTCTAAGACATCTCTCAACCATATACATGAGCTATTTCAAACACAGGACAAGACTCATATTTTATATTTCGGGAGCATATAATGTACATGTGGGAATAATCATGAGCAAATGGCACAATTTCTTGAATAGTGATTATCTCTTGACATGATAGTTTTCTTATCACATGAGGTTTGTTGTTCGATCTTCAATCATGATGGAGGAAATTTTCTGTCATTTTTTTTCTATTAAACACTATCCAAAGTCTATATATTGTCCATGTTTATGGGAAAAGGATGGGATATTCAAGAAATGTTGATGTTGGGATACCTAGGTGGCTCAGTCAGTTAAGCATCTGTCCTTAGCTCAGGTCATGATCTCACAGTTGGTGGGTTCAAGCCCTGAGTTGGGCCCTGTGCTGACAGCTCAGAGCCTGGAGCCTGCTTCAGATTCTCTCTCCCTCTCTCTCTGCCCCCTCCCCCACTTGTGCTCTGTCTGTATGTCTCTCTCTCAAGAATAAATGGACATTAAAAAAAAATATATATATATATATAAAAGAAATGTTGATGTAGTATTTAACTTTCTGGAAAAATATTGTTCAGCATTCTGCTTCATGTATTTCATAAAATCAAAACTGACTTCTTTCAGATTTATGAAAATTAAAGAAAATAAAGCATTTATGATTTTTCATTGGTGAAATCATAACAGAAAACCCACAGGGATTCATATACTAATTTAAGGTTTTTTAAATTTTAAAAGAAAGCAAAGTCATGTTAAGGAAAAAAAGATAACATTAAAAAAACTATTGGCAGTGTACATGATAAAGAAGAGTTAATAGCTTTAAAAACAGAAAAGTGTTTTATAAAACAGGAAGACATAGTCAAATATTACACTGAACATGTCAATAGGCCATTTTGTAGAGGGAAAATACAAATGACTAATGAATGCATTCAAATTCCAAATATACAAATAAATAAACATACGAATAAAATGTGTTAGAGTTTCATATATCACATTGGCAAATATTAGAAGGATCCATAAAACCCAATGTGAATTAGAGTGTAGGAAATTATGCATCTTCATAAAAGTTGAACATGCTTCTATACATCTCGGAAAAATGCACTTTAATTTCTTCTCTCTGAAGTAATTAAAATATGTATATTAAATTTAAATCATACATGTCACTTAAACCTGTAGCTCCATTTCTAGAAAGTAATTCTAAGAGCCAGGCAAGGAAACCGGCATGACCAGGACATTCTTTGTAGAAGTCTTGACATGGAAAGACAAGCACAATATATTTTTTGATTAAACTCAAAACAAAAGCAAAACACACTGGTCCAGATTATAAAACAGTAGATGTAACACAGCCCCCATATATGTATATTTCTATATATACAGAGGTAGGAAGCACATATTTCCATATGCTTTCACAAAGTCTAACTTTATGGACAGTGTGTGTAGGGGGAGTTTCTTTTCATTTATCTTTATCATTTTAGTGTTTGTGAGGAAATAAATATATTAAATTGATATTCTAACTTGTATCTCTGTTCTTATCTGAACATTGAAATTATGTTTGTCTGCTTGCTTCCTTGCTTTATTTTAGGAGAATCTTTTGAAAACACATATGTGCTAGATTTTTTCTTAACCTTATGACATGAACTAAATTGCAGCTGCATTGGTAAATTTTAGGACTACATTTTTTTTTAATTGCTGCAGCTTCTTTAAACATCCATTTCATATACTGTAATGTATTAGCAGTTAGGTTTGGGCCACATTACAAAAAAAATGTTAACTTCTATAAGTGGGCTAATAGACATTTAAATTTTCTTCTTGGATGGTTTCCATGGTGAGCAAGTGTGGCTCTTATAGTTGATTCCTGATGAGTTTTATAACAGTGAAGCTACTGAGATCATTGGGTCCCACATAATCTGTTAACCATCACACTGTTATGCTCTTTAAAAGTTTTTTAGTGTTTGAACCATGGGGAAAGGGTGTTTGTAAATCAGATTAGCCTACTTTTGCAGAGGGAAAAATAAAGGTTCGGAAGAGCCCGAGAGTTGAGGGGATCCATGGATAGACGCCCAAGATGCCAGCTGTTCTGGCTTGTCCCCACACCTCAATCTTTGCACCTAACAGTGGGAAGGAAGAAAGTTCTGGAAACTCAAGTGGCATGGCATCCCTTAAACATTGAAAAGGTTTTTCCTTCTCCCTTCAATGTCCCAGCTGGTGACACTGATCCAAAAAAATGTTGTTTAAATAATAGCTCCTAAATCCTTATGGTGAAGCAACACATTTCCCTTCAAACTGTAAGTAATGAGATGGAAGAGGCCCTAGGAAGCACCAGCGAGCTCATCAGTAGCAGTCCCCTGGGCAAGTGGCTGCTGCTAGGTCTGTCCCGAGGTAATTCTCTCTCTTCCAAGCATGGACGCCCTGCTCTCAGTAGATGGGGGCCTTCCCACCCATACTGCTTGGTTTTGTTCCTGGTTTTGGTTTTGTTTTTTAGTAAACTTATTTTGGAATAATTTTAGGTTTACAGAAAAGTTACAAAACTAGTACAAGATTTCTGAATACCCTGCACTCTGTCTCCTCATTGTTAACATCTTACCATAGGACCTTTGTCACAGCTGAGGAGCCGTTTCCAAATTACTATACACCAAACCCCACCCTTCATCTGGATGTCACCAGTGTCTCCATTAATGACTTCCTGTTTCCGATTCCCATCCAGGATCACACTTCGTTGTCACATGTCCCCAGCCTCCTGTGGTCTGGGCAGTGTTCCTCCACCGTCTTTTTTTTTTTTTTTTTTTTTAATGTTTTTAATTTATTTCTAGGAGAGAGAGAGACAGCGTCAGCAGGGGAGGGTCAGAGAGAGAGAGGGAGTCACAGACTGAAACAGGCTCCAGGCTCCGAGCTGGCAGTCAGCACAGAGCCCGACGCGGGGCTCGAACCCACGAACCGCGAGATCAAGACCTAAGCGAAAGTCGGACGCTTAACCGACTAAGCCACCCAGGCGCCCCACATGGCCTCCACCGTCTTGAGAGGCACAGGCCACCCAACCGATGGGTTAGGCCTCCTTTTCCTTTTCCAGCTCCTGAGTAGAGAGAATTATTCCCTGAGGGTCTGCTGGGCTGGGAGGGCACAGAGGGGCCTCAGGTGCTGAAAGTGTGGCATTTCTGCTCACAGAAGCACAGGGAGCTCCGGAAAGCTGGGGCATTTCTGGGTTTTGACCCTCCCTGTGAAACTGCTAGATCCACACCCGGGCTGCAGCAAACTCTCTCAGCTTGCTAACGCGGCATCGGGGGGCTAGGGGACTCTGTTCAGAATGGCTTTCAGAGCTAGTTTGAGTCTCACGAGAAACTGTCTCGTAACGTTGCCTCATAACTCAGTCACATCACTCTGAGTCCGAACGCTGCCTGTCTTGCTCAGCCCCCAAAGACCTTTGACTGTTCACTAAAACATACACACATGGAGAGGTGCGTACACATATGTATGTACT